GTCTCCGCTGTGGCTCCCCTTGCCGCCCTCCTTGTCGGCCAGGGGCGACTCCTCCTCTCGAAAAGGCAGGGACGGCAGAAACAGAAACTTTCGGAGCTCGGGACATGTGTGCATGACATCGAACCCGCACTTCCGCCAAAAGTATGTATGGTTGACCCCCCCTCAGTTACACTTTGTCTTCTTGTTCCATCGAGTTGTTCGGCCCTCCCAAGAGACACTTTTCTCGTCGGGCGAGGGGCAGCCACTGAGCTCGCGTCGGCGGCGAGCGAGGTGGGGACCTGAGGAGGAGGAGGAGGAGGAGGAGGAGGAGGAGGAGGAGGAGGAGGAGGAGGAGGAGGAGGAGGAGGAGGATGCTCCTCGGCCTCCCGCAGGATTTGCCCCCATAGCCTTCGCCCCCACGGGCTTTGCCGCCCCTCTCCGTGGGAAGCCCTCCCCCTGGGAAGAGAGCTCGGTCCCCGGCGAAAGGGCTTCTTCTCCGGGCGGACGTAAGGAATGACGACTCCCGCCGACCCCGCTTGACCCCGCCGTCAGGGCCCGCCCGCGCGCCCCGCCCCGCCCAACCCGCCCGTCTGGTTCTGCCACTTGCGTTTCTGCTCCTGACTCCCCTCCTGGTACTCTCTGTCGTGCTCCAGCCTTCTCTCTCCCCGTTGTCCCTTCCCTCCCCCCTTCCCCCGTTTTAGGGGCCTCGCCGACTACACGTGGCAGATGACGAGGATACACCCCCAAAGGAGGTACGATGGAAGACGAAGAGGGCGGGTATCGAGGGTTTGGGCCATTAATGTGGAGTGACACGTGAGCCAATCAGAACGAACAGTCTCAAGATGGTTGTGGTTGCTCTTCTTCTTACTAGCTTTGTTATGATTGTTCCGTTTCGTCTTCTTATTCGAAGGATTGCACAAAAACCCAGGATTGCAAAAAAACCATGGTTTTTTTGCAATCTTTGGTTTTTTGCAATCCTGGGTTTTTTTGCAATCCTGTTTTTTTTGCAATCCTTGGGTTTTGTTTTGCAATCCTTCGGTTTTTGTGCAATCCTTCGGTTTTTGCAATCCTTTGCTTCGATCCTCCGCCTCGCCAGCCGCCACGAGCCGCGGGGGCACTGTGATGAGCAGCTTCCCCGTGGAGGTGCTGTAGTCCACCGTGATTCTGGACAGAGCGACCCTCCTGGGCGGGGAGGAGGAGGAGGAGGAGGAGGAGGAGGAGGAGGAGGAGGAGGAGGAGGAGGAGGAGGAGGAGGAGGAGGGTTTGGGCGGCCCCGCACGCACTGCGGCCCTCCACCGTGATTCCCCGCGGATCGGAACGTGCATCGAATTGGGCAGCATCTGCGCCGAAGGAACGAACGAACCACCGCCGCGGACTGTCGTCAGGGTCTGGCTGAAACCAGGTGGTGGGGGCCCATGGCCTTTTGGAAACCAAGCATGCAACGTGACTGGTAGACAACACACTACCCCGACGGTAAGACCCCGCGTGAGCATCTCCTGAGTTTGTCTGAGAGTGCTCCTCGCATCCGTTCCGACCCATCCCTGGGATTAAAACCATGAGGTGCAGGCCCCATACGGAGGGGGTTCCCGCCTGAGGCGTCCTCGCAACTCACTCACGGACAAGGCCGCCGCTTGCCGCTTCCTCAGGATTCAAGCCTCGGGGCCCTAATGCTGACGATGATGATGTTGATGATGATGATGATGCTGATACTGATGATGATGAAGATGATGATGCTGATGATGATGTTGATGATGATGGTGATGCTTATGATGATGACGACTATACTGATGATGATGATGAGGATGAGGATGCGGATGATGGTGCTGATGATGAGAATGATGGTGATGACGATGGTGATGAGGATGATGATGGTGATGCTGCTGATGATGATGGTGGTGAGGATGATGACGATGATGATGATGATGACGATGATAATGATGTTGATGATGATAGTGGTGAGGATGATGAGTGAGGGAGAGAGGAAGGGAGCGATGATAATGATGATGATGACGACGACGTCGATGGTGATCATGATGATGATGATGATGATGATGATGATGATGATGATGATGATGATGATGATGATACTGAGGATGATGATGAGAAGGAGGAGGATGATGATGAGGATGAGGATGATGATGATGATGAGTAAGTGGGTGAGTGAGGGAGCGAGAGGGAGAGAGGGAGGGAGCGATGATAATGATGATGATGACGACGACGCCGATGCTGATGATGATGATGATGATGATGATGATGATGATGATGATGATGATGATGGTGCTGATGATGATTATGATGATGATGATGGTGGTGGTGGTGATGGTCATGATGATGGTGGTGATGATGATGGCGGTGATGATGATGATGATGATGATGATGATGGTAATGATGATGCTGATGATGACGACGATGATGGTTATGATGCTGATGATGATGATGATGAGGAGGAGGAGGAGGAGGAGGAGGGGGACGAGGAGGAGGATGAGGAGGAGGAGGAGGAGGATGTTGATGATCATGACGATGAGTATGCGAGTGCGTGAGTAATGAACAGAGGAGGGAAGGGGGGTGAGGAGTGTACTGCGCGTGGGGTGCCCAGAGAAACAAAAACTCCACTTTGGATGTGGGGGAAAAATTACTACAGATCGCATCGAATCGGATCTGCACCGAGTCCAAGTCGGATCGAATCGGCCGCGCCACGACTCCCAACAACGCCGTGCGAGCATCGGGCCGCATCGGGACGCCAGGACATCGAGATCGAGTCGGATAGGGCCAAGCCAGATCAGGCTCAGATCGGACCGGTCAGATCGAGGCAGGCCCTGCCTGGGCAGGTTGAAGCTCCGCTGGAACTCCGTCATGATCGGGGGGTTCAGGTGCGCGCCCTTCACTATCAGCGTCCTCGGGGAGAGCCAAAGTGCCGACACCGCTGCTAATGTCGAAGCGAGTCCAGCCGCGGCCACAAGGGCCGACCCCCGGAGGACTCGACCCGTTCCCCATGGGCTGGCTTGCATCCTGAACCGTTTTTCCAACGGCCCAGGATGAAGGGGCTCCAGGACACACAAATAAATACACACACAAATGCAATTATTCCTTATATTTTCCCATATTTTCTATGTTTTTGTCTCCCCGCCCAATTCCCATATTTTCCAATATTTTCTGGGGGATCGACGATTAATTGTGTCTGTGTGTTTCTTTCCCTCCTGACAGGAGGCCCGCGAGGCCCCTCCGAGCCCGAACACAGCAATGCTACCGCCGTGATGTTTGCACTGCCGGCGTCCCCGTCGGAGACGACGACGACGAGACGACGGTGCCTCCCTCCATCCAACGTCATCACTCCAGGACGCCTCCATCCGTGCCTCCTGCCCTCCCCCACCCCTTCCCCATCCATCATCCATCCGGCTACCACCCATTCCAACACACGGCTCTATCCATCCAACCTCCCGTCACGGCATCACCGCTCCACTCCGTTATTCCCCTCCTCTTCATCCTCCTCATCCTGCTCCTCCTCCTCATCACCTCCTCCTCCTCCTCCTCCTGCTCCGCATCATCACCATCATCATCAGCAGCATCATCAGGATCATCGCCAGCGCCATCGCCATCGTCAACATCGTCATCGCCATCACCACCGTCATCATCATCATCACCATCATCATCAGCATCATCACCATCAGCATCATCATCATCGTAATCATCATCATCATCAGCATCATCATCGTCATCACCATGAAGATGATGGTGATCAGCATCAGCATCAGCATCATAACCATAATCGTCATTACCATCAGCATTATTACAATCAGCATCACCAACAGCATCATCAACATCTTCGTCATCATCAGAGTCAGCATCATCATCATCATCATCATCATCATCATCAGCATCATCATCAGCAGCCTCATCATCGTCAGCATCATCAAACTCGTCGGCACCACCATCCCCATCCTCATCTTCATCATCATCGTCATCATCATGATCACCATCGGCATCATCATTACTCTCCTCCTCCTCCTCCTCCTCCTCCTCCTCCTCCTCCTCCTCCTCCTCCTCCTCCCCCTTCTTATCCCCCTCCTCCAATCGTGCCTGCCCCTCCTCCTCTTCCTGCTCTTCCTGCTTCCCCCCTTCTCCTCGGCCCCGCCCCCATTGCCGACAGAAGCTGGGCTGGTGACTGCTGGAGCGCGGAAGGCGCGCAAGAACGGCAAGGGAATGCCTGCGTGCTGTCTGGTTAGGGAATGCCCGTGTGCTGTCTGGTAAGGGAATGCCTGTTGGCTGTCTGGTAAGGGAATCCCTGCGTGCTGTCTGGTCAGGGAATGCCCGTGTGCTGTCTGGTAAGGGAATGCCTGTTAGCTGTCTGGCTGGGTGATGCCTGTTGGCTGTCTGGTAACGGAATGCCTACGTGCTGTCTGGTCAGGGAATGCATGTTGGCTGTCTGGTTGGGTGCTGCCTGTTGGCTGCCTGCTTAGATAAGACGGCGATGACATTTCATACGGCGGAGTGGGAAGCGCGATCATACCCTGAACTGAAAGATGCGTCGTTGGCAACCCGCAAAACGCATAATGGAAGACGGGGTTCCGCCGCCCCCCCCTCCCCTCCAAAGTTGACACAATAATGCAATCGCCTGCGACCCGCGCGAGTGTTCCAACTGCCTCTCAACGTTGAAAGGCCGCCGCCGCGTCAGGTTAATTGTGACGTGGCTTGTAGTTTTGCGAAGCAAGCGTTTCGCTCGAGACATCCGCAACATACGAAAATGTCGACTTACCATGAATCGTATCGATCGGAACTTCCACAACCAGCATGCTTCGCTCGGGACATCCTCGACTTTTTAACTCGCCGGCCCTGCGCGACCTCGTCATTTATCGCAGAGTCAGGTCGCCGGTCCTACGCAAGTCGAGGCCGTGGGGGGACCATCTGAAAGAGAACCCCGGGCCCAGGCCCTTTCCAGGAAACACGCAGGGCCGCCTCCGTCTCGACCTCGCGCGCCCCTTATCATCAACGTCCTGCCCACCACCCGGACCCGCAACGGGTGAGGCCCCGCGCTGCCCATCTGGTGCCCTGGCAACTGCGCCGTGATCCGCATGCCGCCCTCGTTGTCCTCGATCTGGAAGTGGCTGGCCTCGCCCAGCGCGCCAGTGCCGTCTCCGATCGCCTGCATAAGTGGAATCCTCCTCCGCCTTCTCCTCCTCGTCCTCCTTCAGCTCCTACTCTCCGCCTGCTCCTGCTCCTGCTTCTACTCCTGCCCCTGTTCCAACTCCTGTTTCTGCTCCTCTTCCTTCTACTCCTTATCCTCTTCCTCTTCCTCCTTATACTCCTCCTCCTCGCCCTCCTCCTACTCCTCCTTCTCCTCCTTCTCCTCCTCCTCCTCCACATCTCTCCTCCTCTCTTCTCCTCGCTCCTCGTCGCTTCTCGCTCCTCCCCCCTTTCCTGGAAAATTGCACAATACCGCACGTCGACAAAATGTTGCATCACTTTAGGCGGGCCCTGGAATGCGCACTGCAACACTCCGTCCCGCCCCGTCCCCCCTCTAATCTTGGGGGCATGCGAGGAGGAACTGCTTGGAATTCCCCAGGCGATCGACGAAATGTTGCACCACCAAGCTGTTTCGGCGACCCCCGGACCGTAGCCAATATTAGATGGGGGGAGGGGAGGATGAGATGGAAACGTCGATTTGAAAACGATGTCCGCTGTCTTCGGTACCAAGGGGTGCAACATCTTGTCGATGTACCTTATGAATACCACTCTACTCTCTCCCCCGAATGTGTCCTAACAGATCCTAAGAGTAGCCGTCACCCCTTCGCGTCCTGGTTGTTTACACACATGCTTTGCGAGACCGAGCTTTCCTTTCGTGCTTTCTCCGTTCGACCCATCCGCGTCCCGCTTCTTGCGTGCAGGAGTTGCGCGATCTGGTTTCAAATGTGGTGCTTAGCATCATATTGTTTACAGTTGTTCGAGAAAGGTGTTCTCGCTGCAGCGTGGGCCTCGTTTTCGGATCGGCGCTGTGCTCCCGTTGTTCAGAATGGCGCTCCCGCCCCAGTCCACAGGTCCCACAAGTGTCACAGGTCCCACATGCCCAGGAAGCCACAGATGCCCCCCCAGGTCGCACAGGTCCCACAAGTTTCGATGTTCCCGACTGAGCCCAACACGATGGGCTGTTTTGTAAAGTTCCAGGTCGGCTATGACACGCGCGCGTGGATTAAGAAAGCTCAGCGCAATGGGAAGATATGGGAGGGAGGAGCAATACGTCAGATATGGCGCGAGCGCACCTCGCTTGTCTCTACCATCTCTCGTCTCTACACTTAGACATTACGAATACACGTTCCAACTATCCCCTGAGTCTGTCCAGAAGATGCCTGGCCCTCTCCGCACATTATTTTTTGCACACAAGATCTCAACACATGATTTGTGTTACGGATGCGGTTCTATCCTGCTTTCGGTGTTCCAAGACGGTACTTCTGCTGCAGCGTGGGCCTCAGTTTCGGATCGGCACTTCGCTCCCGTCGTTGAGAGTGGCGTTCTCGCCCCAGCGTGAGCCACTTTACAGGGCTCGAGTCATTTTTCACCGTTGTGCCTCACCTCATGTCCCTTCCTCCGCCTTGCCCTGGTCCTCCTGCTCCTCCTGCTCCTCCAACTCCTTCCACTCCAGATCCTGCTGCTGCTGCTGCTGCTTTTCATCCTCTTCCTCCTCCTTCCTCCTCCTCCTCCTTTTCCTCCTGCTCATTCCCCTGCTCACCCGCCACCTCCTCCTCCTCCTCCTCCTCCTCTTCATCATCATCATCATCATCATCATCATCATCATCATCATCATCATCATCATCATCATCAGCATCATCAGCATCATCAGCATCATCAGCATCATCAGCATCAGCAGCATCAGCATCAGCATCAGCATCAGCATCAGCATCAGCATCAGCATCAGCATCATCATCATCATCATCATCATCATCATCATCATCACCCTTCTCCTATGCATGTAGCTCGTTTTATGAGCGTGTTTGATTGTTTATGTCAGGGGCCGTTTTTGGGAGGCCCAGGTCGGCCTACGACACGCGCCCGCGGATGCACAGCACACATCGAAGCAGTGGGAAGGGATTGGAGGGAGAGACAGGACGTCAGGTGTGGCACGAGCGCGCCTACGTCAGGTTCGTGTCGTGACGACCCCGGCGTTGGTTTCTTACTCCGCGTGGATCGTTCAACCTTGAACGATCGGCGACTGTGGATCGCTCGATCGTTCCATATAGGCCGATTCTGGGCCACTGGCGGCGTTCAACCTTGAACGCCCGCGGCGGGGTCGCCGCCGGTCAACACGACGCGAACCTACCGTAGCTTGCCTCTCTCCTCTCTCGTCTCTCCTCCTGCTCCTGCTCCTGATCCTGCTCCTGTTCTTGGCGCTGCTCCTTCTCCTGATCCTGATCCTGCTCCTCCTCCTCCTCACCATCCTCCTCCCTCCTCCCTCCTCCTCCTCCATCCTCCTCCTCCTCCTCCTCCTCCTCCTCCTCCTCCTTCTATCTCCTCCTCCCCGATCGCCTTCATGATGGAGCAGAGGAAGAACAAACTCCACAAACATAAACTTCTGGAGGTCTGCGCGGATTTCCTGGATCGGCGTTGGACAACCCACCCTGGCGCGCGGAGCGCGCTGGGGGCGGCGCCCGAGGCGCTGCCAGGAGGCTCCCGCGCCGATCCAAGAAATCCGCGTGGACCCCCGAACGTTTGTGCTCGTGCCATCCTTTCTTCCTCAGGATGGAGGCCATCTGCATCGGCAGCGACTGCATCGGCAGCATCATCGGCATCCCCGGCCTCGCGACGAGGCCCGGGGCGCCGCCGGGCGGGCGACCCCCGGAGACCTGGAGGGCGTGCTGCTCCGCGAGGGGCCGCAGGTTCTGCAGGATCATGGCGAACGGGTCCGCGCCGCCCGGGCCCTGGCGAAGGGGCCCCAGGGCACACAAATAAACACACACACACACACAAGTACAAAGATCCCCCATCTTTTCCGATATGTTCTGATATTTTCCCATATTTCCCCATATTTTCCCATATTTCCCGTATTTTCCCATATTTCCAGGTTTTTCTGATTTTCTAGGTTTTTGCCTCCCCCCCCCACTTCCCATAGTTTCCCTATACTTTCCTGGGGGTCGACGATCAAGTGTGTGTCTGTGTGCTTCTCCCCCTCCTGACCTGGGCCCGCCGCCCCCCGGGGAGCTGGAACTGGAAGTGCACCGGCTGCAGGCGGAACGTGCCGCCTGGCGGCGGGAGCGTCGCGAAGCGTCGCAGCTCCGCGGGCGATCGCGAGCGAAGCGCCCAGGCCTCGAAAGCGGGGAAAGCGACGCGCGGGGAGCGGAGCGCCAGCAGGCGGGGCCCGCGAGCCAACGCGAGCGATGACTCACCACACACACACACACACACACACACACACACACACACACGCGCGCACGCGCACGCCGAGAGGGACCGTGGCTGCCGCCCCTGTCGCAGACCCAGGAGCGGTGGCGAAGTGATCCGGTAGAGGGAAACAATTAGTGAACACCCCCCCTGCCCCCCAAGATCAAAGTTGGCACGCGGGGGGGAGACTGCGGTCGAGGTGCAACTCATCAGACCCACCGCCAACTTCGAACATTGGGGGGAGGGGGAGGCGTTCACAGACGAATGTGGCATGAGTGTTCGCTAATTTTTTCCGAGGCCTGTCGGTGGCGTGTGTGTGAGTGCGCGCGTGCCCAGTGCGCGGCGCGCGGCGGACGGCCCACGCGCGCAGTGCTCTGGACATTGCATCGGGCCGTGCCGGGATGCTCCCCGGAGTGTCGTGTGAAGCACTCCAGTGCCCCGATACGAGCCTACTTGTCAAGAACTTGTCTGTCTTGTTATATCTGGAGTGCGGAAGGCTACGGTAGGTTCGCGCGAAGTCGTCGCACGCAAAGGTTTGTGACACCGCTTTGATCGTTCAACCTTGAATCGATCGCGGCCCCGATCGTTCAAGATTGAATTCCGTCGGGTTTAGTGGCTCTGACGCTTCCGCGTCGCAGAATATAACATTGAACGCCTTCGCTGGCGTCGCTGGCGCGCCATCGCCGCATGAACCTACCGTAACGATGGTGCTTCTGATGGCCTTCGAAGTAATGCATCCGACGGCCCCCTTGCGGGGCAATCGGGCTGCGAAGATCAGGCTTGCGGCTCCCTGTGCCAGTTGCAGCTTCCAGTTTCCACTGTTACAGTCCTGCTTTCTGCCTCCTTACTGTGAATTGTTGCTGAACGCGCGAGGGGGGGAGCCGAAAAGCGTCCTGGCTAGCGTGGCCGAATCGCGTCGTCTGCATTCCCAGGGGGTCGTGGGACATGTAAAAACAAATCACATTCGCGCCCCCGAGGCCATAATCCCTAGTAAATTGCGCCATGTGCGCGTCCCCGAGGCCACACACCTCCGCACATTACACTATATTCGAGTCCCCGAAGCCATAATCTTGCGTAAATTACACAATGCTCGCGTCCCCGAGGCCACAAACCTCCATACATTACACTATATTCGAATCCCCGAAGCCATAATTTTCAGTGAATTACGCAATGTTCGCGTCACCAAAGCCAGGCACCCTTATAAATCATAGAATATTCGCGCCCCCGAAGCCATAAGTTGTTCCCAACCATCCTGTGGTGTTGGGTCCTCGTTTTGAAGAGACAGCGCCCCGCGTCCCACCTCCTCTCCTCCTCCTCCCCCTCCTCGCCCTCCTCCCTCCTCCCCCTCCTTGCCTCTGCTCTCGGCACACCCCTCACACGTTTCGTAGCCCCATAGGGAGCTCCACCGAAGATCCCCGTGGCACAGCCCGCATGCGGTTCCTCCACCCAGGGCAGCGTTTCGTAGCCCCATAGGGAGCTCCACCGAAGGTCCCAGTGGCACAGCCCGCATGCGGTTCCCCCACCCAGGGCAGCGTTTCGTAGCCCCATAGGGAGCTCCACCGAAGGTCCCAGTGGCACAGCCCGCATGCGGTTCCCCCACCCAGGGCAGCGTTTCGTAGCCCCATAGGGAGCTCCACCGAAGGTCCCAGTGGCACAGCCCGCATGCGGTTCCCCCACCCAGGGCAGCGTTTCGTAGCCCCATAGGGAGCTCCACCGAAGGTCCCAGTGGCACAGCCCGCATGCGGTTCCCCCACCCCAGCGTTTCGTGGCCCCATAGGGAGCTCCACCGAAGGCCCAGTGGGTGCGGTTCCCCCACCCAGGGCAGCGTTCGTAGCCCCATAGGGAGCTCCACCGAAGGCAAGTGGCACAGCCCGCATTTAGTGCGGTCCCACCGAAGGTCCCAGTGGCACAGCCCGCATTTCCCCCACCCAGGGCAGCGTTTCGTGGCCCCATAGGGAGCTCCACCGAAGGTCCCAGTGGCGCAGTTCGCATGCGTCCTCCCCACACCCAGTACAGCGTTTCGCGGCCCCATAGAGAACTCCACCGAAGGTCCCAGTGGCGCAGTTCGCATGCGTCCCCCCCGCACCCAGTACAGCGCTTCGTGGCCCCATAGGGGGCTTCCCCGAATGCGATACCCACAACTGCATATGGTTGGGTCTTTCGCCAGGCTAATTTTTAAAAATTACACAATATACGCGCCCCGAAGCAATAAACCCTGCAACAGTATACAAGATTCGCGTCCCCAGGGACATACACCCTCGTAAATTACACCATTATTGCGTCCCCGAGGCCACACATCGTCGCAAATTACACCAGATCTGCGTCCCCGAAACCATCAACCATAGTAAATTACAATAGTTGGGCCCCCGAGGCCATAAACCCTCGTAAAGTATGCGTCCCCGAGGCCACAAACCCTTGCAAATTACGCGATTGTCGCGTCCCCGAAGCCATAAAACATGGTAAATCATTTAATAGTCGCGCCACCAAAGCCATAAGCCCTCGTAAATAAATATTGGCCCTCGCGTTAAGTCCCGACATTGCTTCACGTCAGCGTCCAGACATCCCAACACAGCTCTGGCAAGTCCCATTCTAAGAGAGGGGCGCCGGCGGCATGGGGGCGAAGCCCTTGCGGATATGGATGTCCGACGCCTGCCAGCTAATCATGATTATCATCATGAAGCGGTGGTAGAATCAGCGCACAGGTAACGGTCTTACACAGGCTGGCGAGACTAACTGCAACGAGCCTGCTGAGTCATGCATGCTCTGCCCACCAGATGACAGTGCCGAGGCGCTCGGTCTCTCTGCCCAGCAGAAAATTCTCCGTTCGTGCGACCACGCGCTACGATTGCATTCGTGGAATGTGTGGGCAGCGTGCTTGCCAAACTCCACAAGCCAAAGCCTCCTCCTCCTCCTCCTCCTCCTCCTCCTCCTCCTCCTCCTCCTCCTCCTCCTCCTCCTCCCTCTCCTCCTCCTCCTCCTCCTCCTCCTCCTCCTCCTCCTCCTCCTCCTCCTCCTCCTCCTCCTCCTCCTCCTCCTCCTCCTCCTCCTCCTCCTCCTCCTCCTCCTCCTCCTCCTCCTCCTCCTCCTCCTCCTCCTCCTCCTCCTCCTCCTCCTCCTCCTACTCCTCCTCTCCCTCCTCCTCCTCCCTCTCCTCTCCGACCTCTGACTCGAGTGCTTGCCCTCAGCCGTCTGAAGCCGTGAATGCTGCTGTCCCTCCACCGCACCATCCGCATCCTGGCGGATTCAAGGTTGGGGAACCAGCGGACTCCCGCTGGCCGCCGTTGATAGAAGGCCACCAGCTCTGCCCCAGGTGGTATATCAGGACTTTTTTTTGTAAGCTTTATAACGTGAGTGCGCGCGGCGCTGAGGCGAGAGCCCCACTTTAAAAGCGGCTTGTGCTTAATCCCATTCAATGCTGCAAGCTTGTATGACGAGCGTGTGCGGCGCTACGGCGAGAACCCCACTACTTCGAAAAGGGACCGCCATCCATCCTCGAAACTGCTGCAGCAATTTGAAGAGAATGCGCGCAGCGTTAAACCGAGAGCCACACATTGAAACAAAAACGCCCTCCATCCTTGAAGCTGCAGCAGCAATCCACATTTTGAAAACGGCCCGCCCTCCATCCTGGAAGCTGCTGCAAACTCTCCTTTTGCTGAATGTGAAAACGAATGCGCGCGGCGTTAAGGCGAGAACCACATACCACCACCCCTCCACCCTTGAAGCTGTTGTTAAGCTTCACTTAGAAACTCTAATTGCGCGGTGAGGAAGACTGAACGGAACGCCCAGCCAGCCCTATTGACACGTCTCGGGGTGCGGTACGGATGATCTACTTATCAGTAGAAGGCATGGAGGGAGGAGGAGGGGGCAGGGGCGCGCATGAAGGAGGAGGAAGGGAGGAGCAAGGGGGTAGGAGGTAGTAGGATGGAGCAGGAAGGAGGAGGCGGACTCGCGGCCGCTCTCGGCGCCGCTGCTGGTCGTCGCCGCCGCCAGAGCAGCGGGAGCATCGGCGCGGCGGCAGCGGCAGCGGCGGCGGCAGCGGCGGCGGCGGCAGAAACGGCGGCGGCGGCAGCAGGGTCGGGGACGCACTCGCCCAGGTCAATGCGAACCCAGGTCTGTCAGGCCTTGCAAGATCCTGCAGGATCCTGCGCGCGCGG